GGCGAGCTGGGAGCGCCTGTGGGGCTGTCGGGACCCTTGGTCGGGAGGAGGCCGGCAACGCGGGCCCCAGGGAGCCGAGCTCGGCCCGTTCCTAGTGGGCGGCCGGGGAAATGCCGGCCTGGCTTGTGTTCCCTGAGCACGAGTGGCGCCTGGGGGCTGCTTGCGGGGTTGGTTTCCCCCCTGAAACGACCTAGGGGAAAATATTCCCTGTAGTGATTCCAGTCTTAAAAGAAGAGAGTGAACTCATCTGAATTTCTGTATCTCTGATGTTGGGTTCAGGTGTTTGTCTCGGATCTCCAGGGTCCCTCTTCAGAATGCGCTTCCTGTTGAATCTTCTGTAGTGAAGGATTTTTCTTTTCTCCTGTTTCATTTGATTCTGAGTCAGAGTCTTGTGATCCTTTTTAAGGCAGTAGCTTTCAGGCTGGTGTGCAGGGGATTCTCCTCCTGAATTTGGATCTCTGTCAGTTACATGCCCAAATGTTTTTGTTCAGGGTGTGTGTCAACTACTTAATTATATTGTGTTCTTCCCTTTTTTTACTGTTCTTATTTTGTACGTAGCATTGAATCCTCTCAGAACCTATAGCTTTGACTGAGGATGCCTGTATAGTTATCTTATGGCTTGCTCCACTAAATTGCAGTACTGTTAAAGTTGCCTTCTGCAGGTGAGAAAGGAATGAATAGTGGTCTGGATGTTAGCTTACTAGCTGTAGACTTTCTCTGTTTATTACTGGTGTGATGGAGAAAGTATTGCTACGGGCTTTCAACGAACATTTCTGTTGGATTGGAACTTACGATGCAATCTCAAATATTGAAATGTTATAGAAAAAGCTATTTATAGAAAGCTACTATTAAAACTTTGTGGTAGTGTCAAGGTAGAAAGATGAATGATTAGGTGCAAGTTGTTCTTATAGAATTGATTCTTTAATGTTCAATGTCAGATCAGTTGATGGTGCAAAAAATAAAATTTGGCTTAACTGCTTCTTGCCCCAGGCATGGTCTTTCTTTAAACCTTACTATTTTGGTGACTTCCCTTGCTTAAAACTTGCACCTTTGCCCCGCCCCTCAGGAGTTGCAATAGGATTAAAGCAACTTGTGGTAGAAGCATTTATGGAAGGTAATTCTCAAGAACATAAAGTTGGGAACATTACTAGAGGGCCTGCTGTGGAAAAACTACATGTTTATGCAATACCTGTGTGCAAATAGGTAAAACTTGGATTTTAGAATAATGAGAAATTGGAGTTAGTCAGATTGCTTTAAATCCTTCCTGTACTGATGCAAGACTTCTTATTTGCTCTTTTAAATTAAAAAAAAAAATCAGATGTATGGTAATGGCATGTTATTCCTTATTGTCATATGTGCATGGCTTGTATCTAATGGGACTTATTTCTATGCTGACTCTTGTTCTTTTGCTGATATGGGCCAGTTATGTAATCTGGGCCTGTGTTTCTAAAAGTCTGGTCTGTGCCACTGTTGAATTGATAGTCTCATATAGACATCTATTAGCATAGTAAGGTTTTGTTCCCATTAAATAGTAATCTGCTCAGAACATCTGACTTCCAATGTAATGTTAAGATTCTTTTTTTGCCTTGTGCATCGCTGTATATGCATGTGTACTGGATGATAAAATGACAGCTGAAATTCACTTGATATTGCATGTTGCAATTTTTTGCAGTCAATCCTTTTTTTCTCTTCTTACTATCCTGAATAGCTTAGCCTGTCATCTGCAAATCTCTGGTCACCCCCTTTTATAGAACACTTGTGAATGTCTTGAACATGCAATTAGAGAACTGGTCTGACTGTTTTGTGAGAGTACAGATAATTGTCTCCCAGTCATAAGTATCTAATTTGGAAGAGTTTGTTGTGTAGGATGTATGACCTGAAAGAGCCTTGAAAGATGTAAACACTTGCAAACTTTGCAATTTAGGCTTTCAGAATCATGGTCACGGAACATCTGGTCCCCCCTCCGCCCCCCCCCCCCCCCCCCAGTCTCTTCTCTGTTCTGTTGTTCCATGTAGATGCCTGTTTCTATTTTAAATTTGCTATATTTCTCTTCAAAATAGTTTACAAACAAATTAGAATTCATAAGCCATTTATATTGCATTTTTATCCCAGAGTAGGGTGGAATTAAGTTCACTTTCATCCTTAACAGAATGGCTGGTTTCAAGACAGCATAGTCTATGGTTATTATAGCTATCACTCTACTGTTGCTGCTACCCTGTTGTAGACTCTTCCC